GTCACGAGAAGGATAGGTCGTGGGTTTGAATCGTGGGTGCGCACTGCTGAGGAATCCCATATTAGTACGAAATGGCCATCCAGCTCGTCCAGGTTCTCCATGTTAGTTTATCTTCAATTGACTCATGAATTCAACTATAAAACTAATAAATTTTTTCTAATATATTATAGGTGTCTAATTTGAAAAACTAATTATTAAAAATTTTATGATTTTTATTCGATCTCATCTATTGCTGATAAACACATTAATCAAAAAATGAAACATAATCACTAGTTAACATCATTTTCTCACTACTCTTTACAAATTGATAGAAAGGAGTTCATTGTAATAAAATTCATAAACTATTAATTGAAATCCTTTTTTTGGTTCGTAAATGAATAGAGTAATCTATATAATAAAAAGTAATATTATACATACTCATATTACTGATAGTAGTTAATAGTCTTTTCTTTTTTTTTGTTTCAATTTAATAATAAATGTATTTGTCATTATAGATGATCTAAATTACTGTAATTCATTAATTTGATTACTTGGTTATTAGTTCATTGATTATGAAATAATATTTATTATGTTTAAAGTAGCCATATTAGTAGGTAATGTCATTAAAATTAAATGCGACTGAAAGTTTAATATAAGTAGTTTAAATTTCATTCCTGAGTTAGTTTATATTTTTCTCAATACTAATCAATGATATCTATTCTCAAGTCAATAGAATGGAATTCTATCGTTATTATTATTGTTATTATTATTATTTCCGACAATTATTCAATCTTCCCGGGTTATGTATGATAAAGTTTGATATAATACTACATATTCATATCATTAGATACAGAAGAATGCTCAGCATTCTAAGTAATAATAAATTCTAGTATATTTCAATAATTTATCGGTCAGTTTCTATATAGAATTAAACTAGTAGATTTCAAATGAGTATCCCTGTTTGAATTCGTTTAGTTTACCAATTACTTTTTATTGCATTTAAAAAATAACAACTTTGAAGATTGTCAAATGTTTAAGAAGTAAGTCGAAAAACATTGCTCATTTACTATTTATTCGAAAGTACTTATCGGATTGAGGAAACTATTAACCATCCTCATGAGTTTAAGACAAAGGTTATTCATTAATTTTTCATTAACAGTGATACAACAGAATTACTTCTATTAAGACTGATGTTCTATAAAGTGAGAATCAATACAAAATATTCCAATGACTTAGTGTGAAAATATGACCCTTATCCTCATTAAACAACTAATAAGTAAAATATGACAACTTAGTTAATTCGATAAGCACCTACAACTGAAGCATAAAGTGTGTCGTAGTATCAAATTATTCACCCTAAATGGTTTGTTTTTTGGTCATTATTCAATAAATTTAGATATATATTGAATACTGAAACTATAAAGTGACTTAACTCGATTTGAAATGGTTTGGATAGTGCGAGGCGTTTGAAGCGTATTGTACTGGGTCCGAGTCCGAGAGTGAATATCACCTCTGGGATACAGGTACATTTACCTGACAAGTTTAAAGATGGACGAAACTCTCGTCCTGGATTCCACTGCTAGCCACATTGCATCTATTCTATGTCAATACAATGATTGCTTATAACATCGATGAGTTCTCAGGAATCCAGGAGAATCGATTTTAAGCTAACTGTGGATAATTGTTGTAAATAGTGCTCAGAGAAGAATTATAGGTACTTTTTTATGATGTTTAATGACTTGATGCGACCAAGAGGGAAACTTTGAACTAGGGTTTCACTCTAGTTGTCACTTATCAGCAAGATCTATCTGTAATTTTGAAGGAATCGATACCTTCCAGTGTAAATCAACTGGTGTCACCTAATGTCATGGTTCTCATCAATAGTTAGCGCTGACATAGCTAAATATAAAGAACCTAAATGCATTTCACTCAATACAATGAATAAAAGTGATACAAGTTTACTAACTTCTAATATTTTATAAACTCTATCTCATACATATATTTTTATTTTGTCGTCTCAAACTATATACTCAATATTTGGTTTTTCCCTCATCATTGCTGGTACAATTCATTCAACTAGTTCCCTGTTCATCTTGATGATTTCTTGTCGTTTCTGTGTAACATAGCAACCTAAGTTAACTCACATTTGCGTCAAGCTCCTATGTTTTTCAGAACTGATTGGCTCAACTCTTCGGCATTATTTATTTTCATTTTTCTAATAAACAAGAAAATAAAAGTTTCTGCCATAATGATTTTTTCACTACACAACAATTATTTGAACACTCCAATAAATAAGAATATGATTTTGAAGGTGGAGGTAATGAAAGTGTTCAATATTCAGAAAAAGTTTTAATTTTGAAACTGTTTCGCTTCACTGCATGTTAAAAGTTGTATAAATATAATTTTTATGTTTCTATAGTTCCACATTATTCAATTCATACCTGATTTAATTTCAATTCACTAATTGTGATTAACTATTAAGATTCAAATATTTGTAACAAAATTAATGGTTAATTCTGATTGTTGGCATTAATATTATGTTGAGTTTCGCTGGACAAATGATTAAAATATTACAGTTCTTTAGACTTATTAGTTTATTAAAAATGTAATGACAACCGTTGTATGAAACGTTTTCAAAATTAGATCATCATTCAACTATAATTGTGTACTGACACAAGTTTCAATATTTTTCGTAAGCAAACAGCAAAGACGAAAATAGTTATGACATGATTAGCAAATCAATCTGAATAACTGTCATTTTCTCCACCGTCTAGTATTTCCCGAACGTTATGCTTCATTCACGTCTTCCCGAATCAAGACAAGAACTGAAGAAGTATATACATATAAATATATTTCAATATAACCAAAATAAAAAGATACAGCACTAAAAACATTGAAGTTTATTTCGAATTTACATGAGAATCCTCTAACATTTTGATTTGTCCTCTACCATCGATCGGTTGAAAAATGGACCAATCAGCGTACTTCGCTGTGGATTAAACCTTCAGTAGTCAAGGCTCTATCTTGTTAAGGGTAAAGTTATGTCAAATGTAGTAAAAAGAAAAAACTAATTATGGATCACTGACTAGTCCTGAGCTAAGATAAAACAGCTGGTTTAGTATTTGGTGGTTGGTGTTAGTCTGTGTTGAAAATTATACTAAGAGTATATTAAAAATGATAGGATCAAACTTCACCATTCTGTTCTTCCTCAATTTTTACATAATCATTTATTTATCTTTTATTGATCATTTCATTGATCACACATTTTTGTTCTGTTTGCTTTTTCTCAAACACTTGAATAAAAATAATGATTCCACAATACATTTCCTGGTGAAAACATAACATTCTTCTGTATGCTTTAATGATTAAAATATCTCCTCTTGATTGTATTTTTACAATTTCTTATTTCATTTGACAATTGAAATGACTAAGATGATCGAATTAATAAATTTGATCACTCAACAGGATCAAATGAATTTTAGTGAAAAAGAATCACTTCCTATTTAAGTGAGCAATATGAAAATATAGTAAGTAATATAAACTACTAATTATATATAAAAATTTCAACTCAAATCATTAGACTATAACTGGCTTGTCAATCAATATGGTTAAATATTAATACAAATCAAATGAACATTTTATTTCTATCCGGCAATGACAAATATCATATTTCTAACCGGTTCCAAATTCAATCTTTTATTATCTGTGTAAAAAAGTTACTTGACAGATGATATTAGTTATTAATGCCTATTAATAGTGAATTTAACAAGTTTATACATGTTTCTTATAATAGAATAGACTCGATAATGATACGATCTTGTTGTATATACAAGGTAAAATGTTAGTAAACTAGATGAATACTCTTAATAGTTATATTGAAATGTCTTTTTCTTCTTCTGATTAGTGCCCAAAACTCCCAACTGATATTAAAACATACGAACCTGGTAAAGATTGATTTTTATAGAAATATTATTATTTTTTTTTCACAGATGAATTATTATTAATTGATTAGGGATTAAAACCGACTATTCTACTTAATCAGAAAGGGGTTTTGTGAATATTATAATTTAATAGTTGAATTCACGAGTTAATTAAATCTAGACCACCATGGGAAACCTGGAAGCACTGGACGACCGTTTCGTCCTAGTACGGGACACCTCAGCAGTAAGCATCCACGATCCCGCTCGAAGGGTTTGAACCCAGGACCTACCGGTCTCACACGCAAACGCTTAACTTCTTGATCACTGAGTTCCCCGAGATCTAACGGTGTTAATATCTAACTTCAAACAGTCATGATCGATTACTACTACTACTACTGCTACTACAATCATAAGGTAAACCATAGGAAAATGGTCAATAAGTATTTTGAAATATAGGTTAATGAATTAAATCTTTTAAAAGTTCTAACTTCCATATATCTTTGATAAGAACTGGTCATTTTACTTCAGAGATGTCACTGTTCTTATTGAATATTTGGAGTTATTTATTTTCACTAACTTTTTAAAGTAAAACTTCACAAATGTGTCAACCAATATTATGAATTACTGTTTATGTATACATATTAAATAATGCTTTTTGAATTAACTATTTTTCAAGTTACATTGATGTACCTTACTGAAAGAAAACTTCTATTTGAGAACTCTATATAAATATACCACAGAAAAATAATTTGCGCTACATTGTCATGGTAACTACCTTAGTTATATAATACATCAATTGTCAATTTAGAAACTCTAAGATCCAATTGTATTTATTACTGTGTTCTTTTTTGTAAATAAATTGAAATGAAAACCAATTGATTAAAACATGATTGTCTGAATTGATTTGATAAACCAAACAATTAATCTAATTTTATATGTCGAGTTGATAAAATTGATGTTGCTTTATTATTTTATCGGGTACGCAGTTATATTTCAAAGCATATTTGTCAGTTGATAAAAGATTTCAACATTTACTTAAACAAAATGTTTTTTGTCTATATTACTTATTTTCTGTTTATTCATCAATTTAAAAAAATCCAGGTTTGTGCACCTCGTCTTTCATGGTCATCAGCAGCATCTGTTTATTTACCTGGTGGTTGCTTTGAATTTAATGAACGTTTAGAAGAGCCTCAATTAAATCCTGCACCAAGTGCAATTTGTTTAAATGTTAAAGATTCTGATAAATCAATTGATCTGAGATATTGTACATTTGGTGCATCAGTTAATCAACATCCTAATAGGCCAAAACAATTATTTATGGGTGGTCCACATTTTTATTTTGAGAAAGGTGAGTTAAATATTGAATTGATTAATGAAATTTAATATCACTATGTCTATTGGTTTGTCCTCTACTCAATCGATATTCTGTGGGTACAATAAAATAAAATAAGTTCTTTGTGGTAAGAAAACAAAATCGACACATGGTTATTAGTATTTAACAAAATCTACTCATGCAGTCGATCCCCAAATAGCAATCGAACAGTACCTAATAACAATGTACATATTAAATATTTAAAGCTATTATGTATTTGCAGTTAATTCTATTGGAATAGTATATGACAATAAGTTGTTTATCAGTTCAAAATTGAATAATTAAAATTGAAAATATTAAAGTCACATAATGAAGAACGAATATTAAGTACTACCTGGTTGTTATGGATAAACACTGTTAAGGATTCTTGTGATAGGTGTTCATTCGTTCATAGGCTTCAATGGTACCTCAGTTAAGTTCAAATCGTAATGAACATCGTCTATAAAAGAAAATCAGTTTCGTTGAGTTATAGGGTTATTATTTTCTCTTCTGTATACTAGTCTTCATTCAGAATGTAATACTATTTAAAGCAGTTTACTTGATTAGTATAGTGAATAAACATGATCATTCACTTTGGATAATCTTTGCTATTAAAAGATCATACTCAATTTTCCATATCCCCTTTGTTACTCCATAAGCTTTTATCCGTCTCTCATTATTTGTTAACAGAAATTTGTGAACTTATTAAAAGCAACGTGCAAAGTAATAATTAGTAATGGAATTCACTTTATTCAATGCCAGATGTTTGATTACTCTTAAGAATTATCAACATAAATAAACAATATACATTATTCAACTTGTGAAGATTCAAGAATATACGTATAAAGACGTTTGCAAGTAGTGGTTCGTTGCAATTCACATTTATCCGTAACGTTTTCTAGCCAGTTTCTCTCCCATGATATCTGTTTCCATCTTACAGTATATTTGATATCTGAATTCTGTAGAGTAGTCTCTACTCGTTTCTTCCAAGGAGAGATAAAAAGAAATACATTAACCACTGTGTTGGGTCTCTTTAAATTCCTTGATTATAAGATTCTCAAAAAATTCCCAATATTTCATAAAATCTCCTAAATAAACATAGTTACAATAATGTAAAACTACAAATATGAGCCGAAATTATTTTCTTCAAAGTTCACCTCCATAAAAAAATAGGTTTTAGCTAGTTATCATTTAAACTAACCAATCTCGATGTGATATGATATATTACATTGAAGTAATATAAATAACGGTCATTTTGAACAGATGTGTAACATCATGCATCAAAGTTAAGAATCTAAATCTATACTTCGGGTATATATAATTCAGTAATTCAGTGGTCCAGTAGGTTAAGCGTTCGCGCGCGAGACCGAAGGCCCTGGGTTCGAATCCCGTGAGCGGGATTGTGGATGCTCACTGCTGAGGAGTCCCACAATAGGACGAAACGGTCGTCTAGTGCTTCCAGGTTTTCCATGGTGGTCTAGCTTCAATTGACTCATGATAGAACGAATTGTTTCTAAATTTAAACAGAAAATTATCATAGTTATTATCAAAGTAATACTTTAGTCATATTGTGCTTTTTGGCATGTATACATGATACTTTTCTTTGTTGCTTAAAATATACAAACCTAACTAATTTGATGCAATCATTTAGTCTAAATGATTATTTTTTCGACAACATTATTTAGTTGTTTATGTTCTTTTTGTATTAAATACTACTTTCCCATATCTTTCTCTTTCTCTTGCTCACTTGTTTGCTGTATAATATTAGTAATGATAAAAAATGTCTACTTTTTTCTTGTGTCAATATCACATTATTTCCCTGTAGATCTATATATTCTTCAGATTTCTTCCATATTTTCATGTTACATATTCTTGCCAAAGATCACTTACTACCAATATATATATATATATATATATGCATAATTGTACCATGTAATAAGGAGCTTTTCACTGAATAGAATAAAATTTTCTTACGATTAATGCTTCTCTGTCCCTGGTTATCATTCTTGATTCTTATTCCTCTTAGCATAAGCATTTGATTTCAATGCTATTAGGTTTGAGTTCTATCTTAGCAATATCTTGAATACACAGAATAATAAAACTATTTTGATCGAATTTCGTCACCATACTCTCGTGAGTATATAGTTTTTTAAATGTTTTTGACGTCATACTTTAAAAATAGTATATGTGCTAAATGTAAAGTTGTTTCTGTATTGAGTGATAAATTACAGTAAAATAAAGTATGTTAGATAAGTGCTCTATATCAACATTTATTCAGTAACAACTATACTAGCTTTTAAACAACATGACGTGAAATAAATAATTACTTTATACACCAATGGAGACTGAATTTTATTATCTGACTACTCAGTTAAAGTATAAAGTAAAAACTTGAAAGCCATTAATCGTCACATCATTGTTCTTGTCATTTTTCGTTGTTTTTTTCAAATCGTAAACGGTATGTAGCTAATAAAAATCATGAAACAGAAAGTACGATCAATAGCCACATGTTTATTTTCTCGTAAGTTTAAACACTTTCCTCTTGAAGCTCGGTACTTTTTGGTATTGCTGATGTCAATGTTTCCTTTATAAATTTGAATGAAAAGTTTTTTGGACAGAAATCTCTTTAACAAATAATTGAAATTGTCTTGTGTATATTTTCGATATGCCTAAAATGTACGTGTATTTTTAATTACAGGCGTTGGGGCTTCAGTGAATACAAACACCTTTGAGCGAGTAATAACCTCAGTTGAAAATATTCCTTCAAATACACTTCTTGGTAAGATGTGAATTGTAATATACCTACTTACTTAATTACGCCTGTTACTCCCAGTGGAGCATAGGCTGCCAACCAGCATTCTCCAACCCACTTGAATTATATGTATTGATAAATTTATATTCAGTATTAATGATGACATACTATAAACTTCATATGAAAAATAAAGAAGATTCTATACTTAATTTGTCTACCATTCTTTATACAGCAAATAATATTAAGTATAAAAGAAAGGATTCTTTAATTTAAAATAGTGTTTTTATTCACCAATTTCAGTTGTGGCCAACTCTCTTCCAAATGTACCAGGTTCAACCATTTGTTTTTTTTTATTTCATAGAAGTGTAGTACCAAGTACACTTTCATTTTGATCGATTATGTAAGCGTAATTCTAGAGCAGTAAGTGGCTGAATCAGTGCTGCTGGTCAAAACATCAAGGATCCAAGCACCACTCCACCTAATTCGTTTTAACCGCCCAAGTACCAACATTAAGTTTTACACAGTGTAATTCACAAAGAGAGATCAGGTTATGTAGCTATTTTTATTACATGTTAGTTCTTTTTTTAAAAGATAACCTCAATCACATTTTTCTAATCCATAATTCCTAAGTAACATTTGCTATTACCTGCTTGGTCGTCATCACTGTCAGTTTGCTAATTTTGCTATACATTTGAGTTATCGTTCGTTACTGTAAAAATAGACTTGTTCCTTTTCAACTTTTGGCTTCCGTATAGGATACAAAGTTATTTGGAAAGTCCCGTTTTCTGTACTAGTGCATGGATTATTATACTGAAGTACTGTTGTCCAGAGATGTCCTGTCTATTAAACTTTCCACTCGTTATATCCTATTAGAAGAATACTTAATTATTTGCAAATAAAATTTACCATGTGACAATCGGGAACATTAAATGTCTAGATGTAACACTTAATAGAATCGGATACATAAAATTGTACAGTATAAATCGTTTTCAAATATTTTAAGGATAGGTGATTAGTTGAAACGCTCACGCACAAATTATACACAACCTCAGCAGTTGTACTACTGATATTTTTTGGTTTTACTCAGCTTGTCGACGGCTGAGGCTTTCTAGAAATATTTTCAATATTCACTAAGTATGTTATACCCAAAAATTTCGGTCATTTATCTTTCATTTAGTAGAATTCTATACTGTATTAGACATATAATATTGAATAAAACCATCATTAATAATTATAGATACGGATGCATATCTCAGTTTAATTTTTATCAATGATTGTATCTCAAACATAACACTTTACTACAACTGTATTCTTCGTCCGCTATGTCGGGTCGCACGCTGAACATGTTCGTAGCAGACAGTTGTGGACAACTCCAGCCTCTTGAAACAGTATTTTTAATTAAACTTAATATAGTATACAGGTGAACCAACTAAGTTGACGGAAAAAATGACTGAAATTAATGAATACAACATACTTAATGAATATGAACAATGTTGTTGATAATCTCATCTGATTTTCTGTCAAAATACGGGTCCATTGATTTCGTCCAAAGTCATTCGCTACAGGATGAAAAGTTCTAGTTTAAAAGAACTCCTTTTTTAAGAGTTTGTTTAAATTCATTTGATTGAAAGATAGTTTTTGTGACGAACTTCCATCAGACGTAAAGGAAACGCTGAAAAGCCAAGAGACGCCAAAGAAGTATCTCCTCCTGTCACCAAGAAATTATGTTTTTTCGTTGATGATGTTAAAGATTGGAATCGGTTGGTCTATACTAGTATGCGTGAGTCTTGAATAAATGTCCTTGATGTTGCCTATAATTTGGAAGTTATAGTAAAGCTGGATCACGATAAGCGATGAAATCGAGGACATATGTTTTGTAACTCGTCAGTTGTATAAACCTTCACCTCAATCTTGATCCTCATAGTGAAATTTAAATTCACCGAATTTCGCTACAATCGCCCACACGTTATCTACTGAGTTGTTAACTGTAAATAGCAACTAACTTGTGCAACAGGTATGATGTTTATTGTAAGGGTTTATACTGCCTTTTTGACTGTGTGAACATCAAAACTAAGATTCCGTTACATTAAGCTAAAGAGTTTCAGATAGGACAATAAGCACACTATGGGTCTCACTGTTAACCGCTGTGTAACCTAAATACAATCTATTTTATTCTAGTTTATTAATTATCGACAGTGCACATACATACATACAAGACTGTACTTAGGATTGGACTTTGAACACATGAACCTGGAAGTGTCTTTAAAGTACTTGATGAGAATTTAGTAGTCTACACTTTACATTAATTCACGAAGTAATGCAATATTTCTCCGACTGATTCCATTTCATGATAGAAAATTACATTCAAAAAATTAAAACAGATCAGTAATACTATGACGTTTTCCACTTAACTAATTGTTAAGAACTATCAACTGATTATTATTGTTATTATTACTATAAATGTCGGTCATATTCCACATCAACATTTAATACCGCCCTACATAACGGTGGTAGTGGTGGGGATGTTAATATTTCAGATTGTTGTTCAACTCAATTATCAAAACCATAAGTGAACATGTACAATTCACTGATAATCACACTTGAAATATGTAGTGAACATCTTTGACTATATAGTGCAACGTTGATAATGCTAAAATGTCAACTTATATTGATCTTTAGATAGAAGTTGTTGTTTTGTAAAATAAATTCCTGATCATAGTTATTTACATAAAAGCTATAGTTTAACATTCATGTATGCATAGGTTAAATATTTATACCATACTTATCTTACTAATATAGCAATTCAATTTCGAGTCCCGTGTGCAACATCATGTGTGCGCGCTACTGAAGTGTCTCTTACTACGACAAAACGACCGTTCAGTGCTTCCAGGTTTTTAATGGTTGTCTGGCTTATATCAACTCGTGGATTCAACTGTTAAAAACTTGTGTTTAGAAAAGTGAATCCTACAATTATTATATGTTTTAGGCAAACTGACATAAATTTTATTGATGAGGTGACACCAAAACGAAGGTGTATTACTAACTACTAAAAAGTCAGCTTGATAAATATCCAAAGATACACTAACCAAAATGCTAGTTCATTAAGCAGTTGTTAATTAATTTGGCTCATTTAGGAATGGGTGAACATTCTTTGCGATTGGTTGTGTATTATGTTTGAATTTGGTGCTTGAATATCAGGGACAATATGATTTTTAATCTGTTATGATTGTAAAAATGCTTTTAATGTCATGAAATGTCATGGTAACGTGCGAAGATCCAAGTACACCATTTTTATATTCATCTGAACCTGTGTTATTGTGATCAGGATTAATAATAAACGTGTGCTGAACAATTTTATGAAGTGACTAAAATAAACTTGAACTTTCTTTCTCACCTTTGATATATATGTGTACTTCTCAGCAGTTCTCTCCGCTCTACTTTGTGAATGTGAAATATGACCATTAACAGTACAGGATATTCGTAGGTTACTGGTATTCGATCACAGATGTCTTCCAAGTATTGCTTGTGTATTCGACTGAAGAGGTAGTAAATCTTCATCAACTCAGATGGTTGTGACATGTTTTACATATAACCAACCACAGCCTATCCCAACAGGGTATGTTTTCTGGTGTAGGTGTGAGATATAAGAAACCTAAGGGCGGTTAGACCAAAAAATGCTATCAGTCCATGAAGTCACTGACAAGTGGACTTAGCCATATTAATGGGCATAGACTACTTGGTCGGGATCAGTGTGGTTATCGTAATTAGTGGTTAGAGACTCTAAGTGACACAGCTCAAAGTCGTTTGCAATGGAGTAGATATATCCATTCTTTGCCTTTCCCGAATTTTAAACCTGTGAACTCCTCATAATTCTTTTTTATTTCAGTAATTTCCATTTTCTTGAATTGTATTTTCAATCTCTAATATTTTATATTACTGTTACTAGCCCCATAATTCTAAAAAATAACATGACAATTTCATCTCTCCGTACTAATATGGTGCAGCAACTTGAATTGATTTACAGACGTACTATTTTCTACGTTGCGATATATATATATATATATATATATATATATATATGATGTATTTGCGAAAGACTAGCAATTTTTTAAACTAAATTTCAGACGATTGAAACAACAAACATATTCCTATTTTAAAGCATTGAACATATCCAAGTAAAAAATAAATTTATATCCAAGTATCAATTCATAGTTAATTATTTTAGAATTTTCTTTTTCATTCTTGTAAATAAATTATTTTCACAATGAATTGAACGGACCAGTTGACTAAGAATCAATATTTATGAATAGGTCTATCTATTTGATGACAAGCTAAAAATTATGACATGAATAATTTCCAAATAATTTTAAAGCTATTGGTTATGTGTACACTTTACATAATTGAATCGTAGAATTATTTGTCATCTTAATAAAATTTTCATTACAGATTGTTACCTATGATGTAGAAGTGTCAAAAACCTAGGAAACATAACAAATATAAGAATATTAAGCGTCTTGTATATTTAAGACTCAAATCATTATTGATGTACCTGGATAAATTCACTCCATATAAACAAACCTTAAAATAAGTAAATTTGCTACTTACTGATGAAATTTACAGAAGTACATCATATATATTCTATACTGTCGGTCGATCAACTGGCCTTATCAAATGGAAACATTCAGTTGACAGATTTCATGTACATTGTCATTTGTTTAACAACTTCCCCTTGAAATCTGTGCAAAATACTTTATCTAAAATAATTAATTTTTAATCAATCTGCAGTTATATGTGCAGTTTTTGAAAGAACCGAAAGTTAACAGGCTTTCTGTTTAACTACGTTATTTATGATAAATAGGTCCTATTGTAATGTGTTCTACTTATATCGACATAAGTAATATATGATGTTAGTCAGGAACAGAATGTCTGGCAACGGAAAGACAAGAGGATCGAACAGTAAAGAATGGAAATAGAATGAAATTTGTATGAAAATGCAAGAACAATGAAGTCTGAGTCATTATGAGACAATCGATGGACATGTTGCAAATTAAGCAATTACTTTATGGTTGTTAGATTTTATTAAAAAGTCCTGTAATTTTGTGTTAAAAACATTCGATTGTCCCCACCCGTGTTCTGTTCACTACACTATATGATAATAAGTACAACACCAGTAGGTGATACATCTTGTCTATCACGTTTTTTTTCATTGATCACTACATCTAATGAATAAATAACCAATCTAGAAAACTATACCATTGTTAAACTTGCAACCTTCGATTATTATCATCAATGGCGAATAGTAAACAATTTAATTTAATTTACAATAATCTCATAACTATATTTTTATTTTTATAAGAGTACTATATAAGCATTTTTTTCTATTTCATATTGCACACTATGAAATTTTATGATTTCCAACTGTACAAAAAATTCTCAACTATGACGAACCATTACTTGTTTAATAATTATTAGTTATCAATGATTATTGAGTTGATATATCAGTTCATGATGAAATTTATAAGTAAAATTGTACAACTAGGTTATCGAAAAGTATTTTGTTTCATATATATATGGTATATATGGTATGTGTTTATTGTTCATGCACTTTGAATTGTTTGTCTTTTAAAGATATTCAAATGATCTGTTTATTGCTTAATGTTCAACTTTTATGAAATAGGAAATTTAGTATATTATTTAACTTATACCTATCAGTCTAGTAGATTATACTTGAAATCATCAAACTTGTTAGGTATTTACATTGTGGGTCTGACTATTTCACATATATGTTTATAGGTCTAATTATTTTATATGATTTTTATGAATATTGTTTACTTCTTTTGCTTTTAGCTAATTCAATGAATCATCATTGACTAATATTTAACACTGAAATGACCTATAGGTACATTGAACATTCATTTTCTCTATTTATACGCAGTACATGTCAAATTTACTTAATAAATAAGTAAATAAACGAGATAGTATTAAGTGTTAATAAAGTGTTTATAATCGGTCTTTTGTATATGTAATCTTCTATGATTGTTAATGTTTGTATGCTAATAATCCTACACAAGTTTATAAAAAGGATTTTGTATTTTTTTTATCAGTAGGAACAATTCTGAAAATGCTTATTACCCATTGGTTATTCATAAATATCTTGTTAAAAGACAAAATACTATTATTATTATTATGATTATTATTAGAGAGCTTAAAATTTGTACTGTTATGTTTGTAATGAGCAGTTTGCTGTCACACGAATGAGCATTAGATTCCAGAAGAATAAACTCGCGCTGCATCGATGAGTATCAACTACCATGAAATATCAACCCAGTGCTTTTTCTCAATCACTTCTAATCATCTTAATATTTCGTTCTGTTTTCTATCATTGATTATTATTCTTGAACCAAAAATGGAATTTAATACATTAAAAAATAAACTATCTGTAAACTGTCCTACTTTTCTTTCGGAAGTTTAGAGGAGGTTAGTCTATTTTAGGTTGTATACAACACAGAATGATTTGCTTTCTGCCACCATTGAGAATCAAGGAGCATTAACTAGCTGTTTCTATTTAATGTGGGACTCACCATCAGTACACATCCATGACTCTTCAAGGTTTCGAACTTAGAATTTTCAGGTTTTACAACGAATGCTGAATTATCAGAACCATTAGGTTGGTATTCAGTGGTATAATTTCAACTTGAATGGTTTCCGTAATAGCTCGACGAACATCCGATCCCATTGATGACAGTTGTTTCGGTAAAATTCAAGTTTTAAATAAGCTTCAAACTTTTAGGCTATTTAACTGAGACTACTTTCTCCCTGCTTCAGTAACCATTCCCAGACAACGTAAATATTTACACAAATGAATGTCACTTGTAACTGACTGTTTCCTTTCCTATAGACAATTAATTGAATAGTTTAAAATGAATATTCAGTTTGTATTATAGAACAAAGATCTTAAAACTATATAAGTTTTTTTTAAAGATCAAGAGTTTGAATTATTAGTTATTAAACAAAAGAATTTCCAAATCAATCATCAGCAAATGATTGTAAGTTTTCTTTCGGAACACATTCTGACAAGAACTAATTAATAAAAATAAGGTGAATACTTCCATTTCTTCAAAACATCTTAACGACATAAATTAAATAAATATCATTATTGTAAAAATAATTGAAAATTGAATTTGAAGTGAAACACTTCAAATTATTTGGTTCACTAACCTTTCCATCTTTCTATTCTAAGGCGATGACAGACGATCAATTATTGAGTTTAACTAGTACTTAATAAATTGTTTTTTTTAAAAACTTCATAAATGGCAATATATTCAACTCATATTCTAAATTTACTCAGTTTATTCGTTTTTTTCTTTTTTACTAGTTGAGATCATGAATCATTTGAAGCTAGACCGCCACGAAAAACCTGGAAGCAGTGGACGGCCGTTTCGGCTATTGTTAGACTACTCAGCAGTTCGCATCCATCATCCCGCCCCGCGGGATTCGGACCCAGGATCTGTTGATCTCGCGCGCGAACGTTTAACCTAGCTTCAATTGGTTTATGATCTCAACTATCAAATAACTAGAATATTCACAAAACCGCTTTCTAATATTTTTTTTGTTTTCATTTATTTCTTTTTAATAACTATGAATACTAATTTTAATAAAATAACATTTATTTTCATTTGCCACTGAATTAACTATGTTAAGTAGTTTCTTCTATTTTAATGAATTTATTAATTTAAAGTACTCATTTTTGTATACTAGAAGTGTATCTACAAAATATACATAATGTTCTAATATGCCTAACTTTTAGAAACTTATTCTCTGATAGATACTTTTGTTTACGGATACATTTCTACATTCTCAGTGAGTATAATGTAACTGTTGTTTTTATCTTAAATAAATATTGACATAAATGTGAATACAGCTCATTAATATCAACACTTTACTTCACCTTCTATCTAAAGGTTCATCTCTTGACACTACCGATCGATTGTATGCACCATTACCGGGATTAAAATCACATGAATTGTATGTGGCTTATGGTGGTCCAGGTGTACCAAGTAGTGCTGTAAATGGTTTCACTGATAAAACAAAATTTGGCACTGGGATTGTATTAATATTTCAAAGTAATAAACAAAATGGTAGAAATAATATCAAACCATTGATGAGAATAGAAGGACAAAGTTTTGGTAGTCGATTCGGTCATTCACTTATATTTCTCGATATTAATGGAGATGGGTAAGTAGATTTCATAAGAATTATATAAATATTATTATTTGTCGATTAACTAATTATTTATGCAGTAGAATTTCCATTACGAACTGGAGTTAATCGGAAAACCATCATGAATTGAAGAATACTAACTTATTGTTTTATCATTGTTCAAGATTGCACTTAATTACAAAACGACAACCTAACATATCTTGAAATCCAAAAATACTTTCAGCTTTAGTCAGTTCTATATAAAGGTGTGGATAAGTATCACACTCCTGGAATCGCTTTCTCTATAAGTCACTAATAAATCGATCTACAAGCTTTTTATAAATAAATATTTAGTTATAATTAACAAAAAATCATTTGTGAAAATTTGACCATAGTTTTTGTACTGAATCGGTATCACCTAAAAAATAATCTGTAATCAAATAAAACAAGTTTTAACTTAATTTGTAATGGATTGGAAGAAGGTACATTCAGGTGACGAGTTTAAATTGGAATTCCTCTGTTAACTACATTCCATTTATTCTTTATCAATCGATTGTGTTTTGGAATATGCTGGAAACTTGAAATATTGCCATCATAACATTATATTCTAAAAACACAATTACATCGATATATCAGTGCTTTTTTGTTTGAATTTGGTAATCTATCTACTATCAATTACTAGCCATTATGATGATACCTTGTTCTTTTTTTCGTATTGCGATATATAAAATAACAAGTTTAAAGTATACTTGAGGTCAATCAATGTAATTAAACAAAACAATGTAGAATTCAGTGTATGTTTAAAACAAAGTACGTAAGAGTTTTCAAAATATGGTATTTGAAAAATGCACATATTGATAATGTATGTGGATCTAACATATTGAATCTGAATATATATATAAACTTAAAAGTACTTTTGTTATTTATATTACTTATTATAATATCACTTATGTAAATGGCATCTTATTTAAATGAGATTTTTTAACACTAGATTTGTTGTGACTTATAAAACTAGGTCTATGTACTATGATCACTAACTACATGAAGTTATAAATGACCACTTAACAATATGCATAACTCAGTGTGAATCTGACTCAATTCTGAATACTACAGGAAAGGGGAAAAAGATTTAGAAAGAATAGGTAATACTCTCCTTAAACTAAAATTATCATTAAGTGAACTTTATTTACAACAAAAAACAGATGAATTCTTAAATCACATTTTAAAATGAATAAGTTCGAATTTCACTAGAAGCATCAATTCATTTAAGATTGGAGGAACGGCTAGTACAAAACCTACTGTCGTAACTACCTGTAACCATCTGATATCTAAATATAATGGACCCGAAGTCGAATTACCTAGGCTTGTGGTTACACTACACCTAGATCAATAGAATTCAAACCAGTTTAAAGGACTAGACAAATATGACATTCTTCACTACTCTGAGATCAACCATTTTTAAATATCTCTGTCTTATAGAAGGTTAATCACGGCCTTACTAGCCCACTGATAACTTCTAAGGCTGTGAGACTTGTTGACATGAATTTGAATCCCACAAAGTGTCAGTTGCATCAAGATCCCAAGTACACATTCTTGACAAATGCCAACTAGCACGATACATAAGACCAAAATCTCCTGCCGACTACTTTCAACCACCTAACGTCTAAATAAATAGACCAACGAATGACCATAGCTAAGTATGAAAAGTTTCGACAAGAACTCATAATATGTAAATTAATAACAGAATAAGATCTAGTGATGATTATTTTGTTGTTTTTCAATGAAATAACAAAGAGTAAAGTTGCTGTATCACATAATATAAACTTAACATAACTAAATTGTACATTTACTAGGCAGTTCAGTTTGTCAGATTAGTTGTTTTCAATTTGTAAAATAAATTTAGTTGAAAACACTGGTTACAAAGACAAATGTACTACATTAATTTTAGGATAATTGAGTTGGCTTTACTATAACTAATATAAAATAATAATGACTCGATCGAATACTTCATTTTAAAGCCTTTCTCGTAATTGATAATCCAATCAGGTTCTCGTTCTTTTTTACGTCGTTATACTTTTGTCTATATTTTAGCCACTTATATAAATTTCAAAGTATACACGAATTAGAATGATTTCTATTTAATTTAAATAAACAGATAAAAGGAAATTAACCTCTAGACCACTGAACTGACATCCAACAGTGCTAATGTCCAACTTCAACCAATCCATGATATTGTGCGACCGTCCACCATTGTTTTCAGTGAGTAGCTGCCTCAACAACAGAGACGGTTGAACTCCACTGGTCACGGCTTCTCAATATAACTCCAGGAAACTCATCTTGAAGCCAGTCACTAGTAAACACATGATAAATATCAGTATGGGTTTGTGATGGTCTAATACTTATCCATTCATGATATCAATTGAAACTCAACAATCTCCATAGCCCTATACGGATCAAAGGAAATTAGTCAGTATAAAAAAACTACTTTTACAAATTGTATTGCAATAGAATATAAATCTTGCAGTCTCTAGTTTATAATCCCCTATCATAATTTAAGTCTACGAACCGTAGATTATCTGAGATACGAAAAACTAATGCTTACAATATAACTTTCAAATAATACCCTAAACAGTGGTAAATAAAATATAATCCTATAAAAATTATATCTATCATTTACAAAATAATAGTTGATCATACTGTATTTCGAAATTTTGTTTTAATATACTCTGGATTCATGTAATAATCGAAATACCATTCTATGTGAAACATTTTATATTAATATATATATATATATATAATACGTTTAATGGAAACATAAATCCTGTCTTTGAGTCGACTAGCAGTAGATGCATCCTTGAATATCTTAAGTTTAAAATACAATAAAGCTCATTGAACTATAAATAAGAACAGCAGTACTAGATATATACAGTATATTTACTGAAGGCATTCAGTCTTAAGTTTTTGTCAGGCCAGATGAATCTTTTTAAACATAAGGAATGTGAAAGTATGAATTTTTATCAAACGGTCACTTATCATTAGACATCAGAGCATTGGATAACTTACCTCTACTAAAATGATTTACTAATTTCAATTTTAGATATATGTACTTCAAGTTATTAAACGATTAAACATTTTTCCTATCATTCTATCTCTCTTACTTTCCTGAAAGTGTAGTAGAACTTTATGTACAAAATGACATCAATTTAATTTAAAGGTATATTACATATACTTCCGGATATGTAATATTTATACAACACTTATCAGGTTCACTCACTCACTACCATGTCAAATAAATGTGCTAATAAACAGTAGTCACTAAAGTATAGTAAACTCATGATCCATAAAATCTATTGCAGTAGACAGGTTTATTTAGGTATATTTTTACTACGAGTACGTTCATAGTGAAATATGAAAACAAAACTAAATGTTAAATTATATTCCGATACAATAATTTAAGTTTATCATACTTCCTGTAGGCCTCTAAAATCTTAAGCTCATTCTGATTCGATCAATGTGAACTTTTATGTAACCCCTGAACTAAAACAATAAAGATTTATAGGATAATGTGACATTTAATATTACTTTAAGTTTTTGTTGTTGTTGTTGTCAGATTATCGAAAATCAATACTTCAGACTGAATGATTTACCATGAATCAATTAAATGATACATTTACTGACTTAGTATTTACTACATCAAATGATTTAATTGTCATTCATTTATTTATATAATTTCAATCTCTAAATACACTTTAATTACATTAAATGATTCAGTATAAATTAAGTGACAATGAAACTTTTTTTTAAAAAAAAGATTTGGATCTTTATTCATTCAAATAATTTGTTTAATTTTAAACCATGACATTGATGAAGACATTTGGATTCGAATGTTTTTCGCTATATATGTGTGTGTTATTCATTGAATTCATTCAAGGGATTTTGTTAAGCTTACAATTTATTGAGTATAAACAAGAACTAAATTGATAATATTGGGAAAATTAACTTCAGTAGAACTTCAACCTATTTTCTTGAAAGCTTTCTATGAGTGAATGAGAAAACAAGTGAGGACCAACAACTAAGTAAAATCTGAGAACCTAACAGTAAATACTTCATTTACAAAATGTTCATTAATTGTCTCAGAATTCATTGTTTGTGCATAGTCATACCAACTGATTTCTATTCCCGTTCTTTCCTCCTCGATCCTTTCGAACTTCTGCTGCCAGACATTCTATTCCTGACTAGCGTAATATACTACTTATGTTGACATAAATAGCACATACCACACAACATATACATATTAAATGAAATATAGATCAATGTGAAAAACAATGTTAGGTGTTTGTTCTTTACCAGGCATCCATCATGATATGGCATATTTAGGATATTGAAAATAAAATTACAATTAGATTTATTCCTACCGGTGGTCTTCTGGTAGTAACAGTAATATTATGCTGTAAAGTGATGCAAGTTACTGTCTATTATATCACTTCACATTTGAAAAATTCGGCCTCCGATTTAGGCTTAATCATTTTATCCGACTACTATTCTTTCCAATTAAACGCGTATGAAATTCGTAAATGTTCTAGCTTATAGACCTTGCAGTATAGCAATACTATCTTCATTTGCAATCGACTACATACCTTGTTTACGTTTTTATTATTCGTAACATCTCTGGCAGTCCTTCAAAATTTACCTCTGTGGCTATCTCATCATTTATAAACCCTTAACTGTTTTGTCTTAGAATCGCATATATAGATTTCCAGAAACTCCGCTCACCAGAATCTATTCGGACAGTAGATAAGTGATCTGAAGTACAAGTTCCATCAAACATTTGAAGTAAACCAATTCACGTACTGATTGTGCAGATTATGTATACTTCCTACAAAATTAAGTCTAACAAACAGTAGACTATGCTTCCTGTACTAAATAAATCATTAAAAATCCAATAATTTTGTCTCTAAATAATAAAGAAGTTTTAGGTTGTTATTTGTTGGATAGTTCACTGACTTGTTTTATCTCACATTTTTATTAGTTGGGATGATCTAATTGTCGGTGCACCTTATCAATATTCCAATACGACTGTCGGTGGACATAGAAGACACGGAGCAGTGTTTATATTTTTAAATAGACAGTCATATTTCTATACACCAGTGGATGAAGTCAGTGGCGTGGAGTTGTTTAGTTATAATTATCCTGAAACTTTTCAAATAATTACACCTCCATCTCATAATTGTGGTAATTCACATATTCCTGGATTTGGAGCGACAATTACAAAACTTGGTGATATTAATCACGATGGTTTTCAAGGTAATGTTAACGATAAAAAAATGTATCAGTGTCATACAAAATTCTGGTTTTAATTTAACGATCTAAGAATACTTCATAGTAATTAGGAATAGAGTCTACTATATATTTATGATCTTTACAGACTGTTATCATTTAACGTATCAGGAGGCTCAGAGCAACTTATTTGTTTAGTGATTATATTCTTTATATGAATTCTTCAAGACTAACGTGGTCCTAAATTTAAACAGAAATCACAAAAGGAGACCAATATCGTTTATTGAATTTTCTCTCATAATATGGTCTGGTGTATCTTCTTCTCTGTTACATGGTCAGTAATAAGGATTAGGTAAATGACAGCTTACTGGTTATGAAAACTCAGCTCTCAATTTATTCAATCTCATGTTTATATTCCACAACACCTACTTCGGTTTGAATAGTCGGTGAATATTTCAACGTAACGAATTTCCGTCCAAAAATCTAAACCGGTGTCATTATAGTGCTCCAGTGGAATAACTCAATTTTGATGAAATTCAGGACCAGAGATTCTTATTAACTGACTTCATACGTCTTGCATTGAATAGCTGGATGGTGATATAATTAATCTAGTTGTAAAAGTGTGTAACTACACTTGAGGTCAAATCACATAACACCAATTATTAGTTAGTCTCTAGTTAGCATTTGTAAACTAAATAAATCCCTACAAACATTTCCCTTCCCTGTCGTTTTACTGCACTACTTCGAGTTGCTACTTAATTAAGTAATCTCACCTTTCATCAGTTATTGTGTAGTGAACACAAACACTAATGAGGACAATCGAATGTAGTTGACGCAAAATTTCAGGACTTCTTAATAAAATCTAACAATCAAATAGTAAATACGTAATTTGCAAAATGTCCATCAATTGTCTCATAATGACACAGACTTCATTGTTCTTGCATTTTCATACAAATTTCATTCTATTTCCATTCTTTACTGTTCGATCCTCTTGTCACTCTGCTGCCAGACATTCTGTTCATGACTAACATCACATACTACTTATGTCGATATAAGTAGCACACACCAAAATTGTAAACGAAAATAGGATACCACATAACTGTCTTCGGCCTTGAATTATAAAGATTCAATGTCAGAATATTTTTCACTTTAGATAAATATTTAACGAAAAAATGAGTAAATAAGTTAACAAAAGGGCTTAACTGAATTAAATGAGAACAAACTCAACTGCATGTGAATTGCTATAATTCACTCAAAGTGGTGACAACATTAGAGCTTGATTAGTAGAACTCAATCGGATTTAAGGACTGTACTTGATCCTTGAATTATTGGTCACTTCTCAATGATCGTTCAATATGAGTCATATCTCCCCTTATTAAATAATAAAAAACGAAAACTTGTTTGCAACGATCACAAAAATGATTCTACATCTACAGATACTAATAAGAGCGTATCATCATTTCATTTTTGCAAACAATCTTTTCTCTCTAATCCATATGAGTACTTTATCTTCAGTGATTTAAAAGATTAATAAAGCTATGTGCATGTGTATAAGTTTTATGTTTCACATGTCTCAGGTTTATTCCGTGGATGATTCTATTTGTACTACCGAGTTGACATGCATTGGCAGTTTACAGTTCACATATACACTATCCATCCTTTCAGTGCATGTTATAAATATTGAACCAGAAATTGTTCCTACCTTATTTACTTAAAAGAATTGTTTAATTAATAGCATTTAGATTATAACGACGTAACCAAGACTGAAAAAAACCCCAGTTGAAACAAAGTATTATATGACTTAAAGATTTTCCATACAAGTTACTGGATACACTTTAAGATAATATCATATATTTATTTTTAAGTGCATATCACTTTAGACCACCAGTAAACTAATCTATAACTTTTTACCATGAGTTCACTTGTATTAATTATTTCTTTCTTTGAAGTATTGTCCTTCACAGTATGTTATATTTTTCAATTTCTTTTTCTTATCTATAAACATATTTTGTATATATGTGTGTATCTATATTTGTGTATGTGCTTATATAATAAAACCCTGTTATATATTTCTCTATATTGTGCTTAAACAATAAAAAATGGTTTATAACCTTATTTCAAAAAATGTTTATTTATTATTCCATCAATCTTGAAGATAAAGAATAACGTTTTACTCTCCGTATCATGTAGACAATACTTATTACCTCTTTTTACACTTAATGAAATTAGACTTTGCTGTCGGTGCTCCTTATGAAGACAACGGTGGTGCAGTCTACATATATCATGGAAGTAAATCTGGAAAACTACAAAAACCAACACAAGTACGCTGTGTTTATTTGTTTTAAATATTCATTGTTTTTAATATTCTTGAGTGAATTTCAATGGCATAGTTAGCCTATGTGTATTATATACTGACTATTTCAATGTACTCATTAAGAAAGAGATTGTGCAGTGGAATCCGGGATCTATGCTTCTTCCAAATTCAGACTCATAAGTTAGATATACCTGCATCATAGTGAAGTGGTTCTGTCAAGACCATCCTCAAACAATCCATATATATCAATTAAAATAGGTTAAAATTCAGTCACGAATATCAACAACGAGATAAATTTAACTGTTTAAATTAAACTGATTGTTTGTGTTATACAGATAAATCAGTAATCAACTTGAAAAAGAAGTTTATAAAGAAACTAGGGTGATATCTCATGTTTTTTTCGTCAGTGCCACACTTTTACTTGATATGGAAAACACTTCGTACAGTTCTGTAAAACATTCATTACCTTTTGAGTGTCTTGGTTTCTAGAAAGACAAGATTCAATTTAACAAAGGAAATGATAATTGCAAAATTATTTTTATTATGGACTGGGACCAACTGCAAAGCCAAATAAAATTACCTAGTTCATTAAGATATGAGATTACCTGATAGTGTTCAATCATGTTTTACTAAGTCATAACTGACAAGGTTTAATATATATTGGGTGTGAGGTATTTGCCAGCCGAAACTAAGCGTGAGCTGTCACACCATATTAAAGCTGAAAATGTAAACATTAGATAATGACCCAGTGGTCTAAGTATCAAGTACCTATATATGTTGCTTATTTTTAATTTCCTCTGTTAAGAGATCATCATCGTCCTATACAAACATCAGTTGAGATAACGTCAAATACCGGATATTGTTAAAACAATCGAACTTTATACTAACAAAGTACTTTGAATGAATTTATTTGTATTAACCTATCCATAACATTGAAAATTCTTTCTCTAATCCATAAAATCTGTTTGCCTTTATTGATCAAGACACAACTTACCATTCGAAGACACTTTTATAAGTGAAAATCGTTTATACCGATCAATTGTAGTTGAAATGTTAAATGCATCACATTAATTCTAGAGAGTCAATCTATTATTAATTGTCTACAATGATTTGTCTCTAATGATTTGTCGATCTGTCTTGAAGTTTGAGCTGATTTAAAAACCGTGACTTGACTGTTAAATTAGATAAAATATTTTAATATTGATTTTAAACTACATATTTTAATAAAATAAACACAAATAATGAAAGAACAGAGATTTGTTGAACAATAGAAACCCGTATTGACTAAAAATAGTTGAAACTAAATGAAAATCAAAAGAATAGTGATAACTAAATGGTACCATTAATAGTAGCCAAATATTTTAATATTCGTATTGAATATCAAATGAATATTTCAACACAAATGACTTTTTTTTTATTGTATCACTGCTTTTCGTGATACTTCAACACTAAGATGTGCTTGTGCGTGTGTGTTCGAATGTGCGTATGAATGCTCACAAATTGACAGCATAACTAACCCGTGGTAACTATGACCCATATTCATTTATCTTCTGAGATTTAAAGTATAGTAGACCATTAAAAATGCTATTATTTGATCAACAGAATAGTTTTAAATTTCATTCTAACGATTAATATATATGCATTTGAGAATACTTGAAGATAATTTCAATCATAGAACAATTACACAAGCTTATAAATCATCAAAATGTAAGAAGCGCTAAATATGTGTATTTTATCCATAGTTCAACATACTCTTAAGTTTATACTAACTACTTTACACAGGGTCATACTTGTAAATGAATAATCCTGTGGTGATCACGACTGGCTAAACAGTGTTAAGTTTACTAAGAGATCTGTAAAAATTAGGTTTGTTATCTCTCCCGTCTTATGATTTCCCTTTGTTGATATTACTCAACTCAGATAACTCAACTGTGTAATTTTTGTTTGACTTTTTAATGCTTTAAGTAACTGGTGAAAATTCAAAAAAAGTTTTCATGGTAGATGTTTTTAAGAAAAAATTTCATTGAAAAACTATCGATATTCTTTGAGTAAAGAAGATACTCTGAAAAATCAAATATTTAGATTTTCGTCAATAATTTCAAGCTTTCTCTTTCAATCATTTTCCGACAATACTTATAATCTGCCGATTAATTCCATCTACTTGGTGAGAAATAATGCACCTTGAAATAAACAACCAGCTTGTTTTATCAATATTATTTTGACAGAAGTCACTAAACTATCTGTTGTGTAACACAACTTACAGACCAATATTTGATGTGAATTATGTATTGAATAACAGTTTTAGAGTGTAGATTGACTAGAGGACAGGTTTCAGCAAATAAATGCTAATAAAATCCTGAAAAATAGACAGAAAACTGGATTATATTTTGCTTGATGATTGATAATTCCTAATCTGTCAGAATTATTGATCTATTCTTGCAACATTGAATACTTATTTATAGACCTTAGACAGTTGTAGGAAACAATAACCTGTTGCATCTTTGAGAATAAAGTTTTCCGCTTTATTTCTACCAGTTGGTTAGAGTAACTTATTTTCTTCGATTAAACTGCAGATTTCTACCCTATTCTATTTAAATCAGTTTAGGCAACCGAGTATTATTATTATTAGGTTTCATACCTAAGATGTAACTCAAAATAACAAATATGTATAGGCTATCTGTTACTGATTGTGTAACATTTCACCTTTATGTTTGTTTGTTTAACTTTACGGTCAACATTTCAGCAACATCCATTAAAACTCTTTTAAATTAGGTGTTAAAACATTGTTTTCTAATAAATTATTATAGTTCTCCAATATATTTGTTAGAATAAAAATAGCTGTTTTTTTTAGAAATCCATCATTTACAAATTTGTACATCTTTATAACAAATTCTACGTTGTAATAAGTAATACGCACTGTCATCCCTACTTCTTTATCATGTTTACGTGATTTATACTTGATGGTTTAAATTGATGTTATCCAAACCCCGATTGGATGAAAATTTGATATCTACACATAGAGACACAGATATGTATAAAAAAACATGCACAGACTAAATGATGTGTCATAATAGAGATTATGTAACAAATATTAGTCAATGTATCTTTTCTTATTAATATATTTACTATTTATTTAACTGCTAAATGAAAATTGCGGTAAGATAATATCCTGCAATTAAAATTGGATATTCAATCGAATATATAGAATTGGGTTAGTGATTTGTAATCTCCATATCAGTCGAAACATTGTTTGTTTGTTTTGCATGAATACATTCACGAAAATACGTTATTTCAGTGATCATACTTTTGTTTAAATCGCTCGTTAAACTTACTCTCTCCTAAGCCACATTCTATGAGAACTTGTCGCTGAGATAAAATAGAGTGATGAAACCATGAGCTTTCACAAACCATTACAAAAGCTACGAAAGGTAGGTCAAATGCCATAGATTGATTGAGGTTAGACATTAACACCGTTGAATGCCGGGTCGGTGGTCTGGTGGTTAGGCGTTCGCAAGCGGGGCCAAAAGTTCTGGATTCGCGTCCTTCATGAAGAATCGTGGGTGTCCGTTGATAAAACGTCCCATACTGGGATGAAACGGCCATCCAATGATTCTGGTTTTTCAATAGGGGTCTAACGTTGATCGATTAATGATTCCAATCAAATGAGTCCTTTTCTATCGAATGTAACTTTTCCATTTTCAATGAAAATGTTATAATTTGCTTGGGAAGGCCGTATCACGTAGTTCTAGTGAAAAAACCATGTACAATAATTTACTTCGGAAAGTATATGCGCGGTGCAAAGACACAGACTATCATATTGTTTATTATTGAACACTATAACTTATCGTAATCCTTAGGACAATAATAATAAACTTTTCGCAACCTTTTCTCCTTAAAATTTAAAAACACACCTTGTAAACTCCTGACAAATGTTATATTATCAGTTACTTCATTCACATCTATCTTCTTATATATCTTCCAGTGAAACGAAACTCCGATACATTAGAATCCATACACTCAATCAAAAATATGAGAGCTCTGTAATACCTCATCTAGCAAATATACTATGTGACGAACAGGTTGTAGGAGCTGACCTAGTCAATAACCTGTGTTCTTAAACATGTTGCTAATTAAAAGTTGTACAGATTCTAATCTTATTATAAAACATTCCATTCAAATCCAGATAGTTTATTTGGTAACTCTATGTGTATTTTTTAGTTGAACTCATGGACCAATCAACTTTAGACCACCGCCAGAAACCTGGAAGCATTGGACGGCCGTTTCATCCTGGTGTGAGACGCCTCAACAGATCGTATCCACGAATTTTTGCGCGGGATTCGAACCAAAGACCTTCAGTCTCGTGTGAGAACACAAAGTAGTCTCATACCAAGACGAAACGGCCGACCAGTGCTTCCAGGTTTTCAATGGTGGTTTAATATTGATCGGCTCATGATCTCAGTTAAAATTCAACAATCTCCACAACCGTATACTTATAATCATCTGCATAAGTATGCAGTTATCGATCTTCTTTTTCTTTTCTGTTTTTTGTTCAAAACTTGTTGAAATGCTTTACGCTGAGAATTCTATATTGCAGTAAACACGTCATATTGAATAAAGTCATTAAAAGTAACGATAATGATAAATGAAATTGACAGCTTCAAAGACTTTCCATGGCAATTTTATTCGGCTATATGATATGAGAATATTTTATAAATTGATGTGAATCACCAAACTTCAAATACTCTACAATTTAAAAAAAAGAAACAAAACGACTTATACTTATTTGTTAGCAAAATTTTACAAATTTGTTTTGCATACTTTCATAGGTAAAATAAAAAATCCCATTGTCACCATAAAAACATGAATATAGCGAGGCATGCATATATATATATAATATATATATATATATATATATATATATATATATATATATATATATATATGATGTCTTTTAAGTGAATTAGCTCGGTATTTTTGATAATATGATTGAATGTTCATAATAGTCAA